AATGAATTTTTTGTAATAAGTTTGAATGTTAAAATTGGCCGTATTTTAAATATTTAACAAAAAATAAATTATATTATATTGAATGTACTGAAAAATTTCTATTTCAAAATTGAAACATCATTGAAAATCATCATCATTTGAAAATAAACTCAAAGTTTATAAAATTTTTCGAAGTTTCAAATCTTTATAAAACATTTTGAGTGATTATATAATAAATAAATCATTTTTCAAATATCATCTATTGAAAAAGTAGTATTTAATTTAATTTGTACAAAATTTGAAGTACATCGATATAAAAAAATGATTATAATTATGGAAGTAATTTAATAATTAAGCTTCAAATCTATATAAATTAGATCATATTTTGAACTTCTACCAAAAAAAAACGTTTCTAAAATTTAATGTACTAAAAAAATCTGAGTACATAAAATCAAATAAAAGTTTCAAGATTACATAAAAAATAATAATTAAGGTCATAGTATCAACATTGAATAAAATACAAAATTTTTAGACTCCTGAAATTAGATGTACTGGAAAATGCATATCATGTTTATCCTAAATTTGAATAAAAGATACACAGGTATATATCTATATATACGCAAGAAAATTATACGGGATTGGAAAGAAAATTATCCGCGGGCTTCCCTTTTTTATCCTGCGTAAAATTTAGGGCTTTGCGAGAGGAAAGTTACGAACCGAATAACTTACTTTTTATACACGCAAAACAAATTAACATCCTGCCTATTCCTCCTCCTACTGCTCCTCCTCCCATTTCCGCGCCGGCAATCCCGGAGGAAGAGAAACTGGAGGGTTGAAAGAGAGAGAGAAAGAAATAAATAAATACGTTACGTCCCTTTAATCCGTTCGTTATTTTTGTGCGATTGGTATGTGCAATAGCGGAGAAAAGATATATCGAGCGTTTACTGTACGCATGTATTTCTCCCTTTTTCCGCTCCAGTTTTGCTGATTATTTTCCTTCGTTTTTTTTTGCAACCCATGAATCCCAGTCCCAGATTCGTGAAATATATAGATATAAAGCGTATATATTTTTGGAAGGGAGGAAAATCGGTGTGGGTGAGGGTGAGATTTGTCTCTAAATAAGCCCAGCGGAAGAAGAGTTATAGGCTTTTTAAACTGCACATTTATTTGTACAATTGTAGTTTTCGATCAACCAATTGCATTATTACAGTTTACATCTATACTTTATTTCTCTTTTACTGATCATTTGTTTGAAAATACCAATTCTTCAGTTAATAAAACAATAACAAATTGAATAGACACACAAAAAATGAAATAACTTTAACTTTATTAATTGTAACAATTAAATTTTGTTAACTTGGGAATAAATGCACTTTAATATTAAAAAAATTTGCTAAAATCCTTATAATAACTGCAACAACTTGTGTTCGATTCTGATTACTTTATATTACTATCTGTGCATCAAATTATTTCAACTGTTTTCTTCAAAAATGCTGTGTATTATTATGCTGTAGTAATATAAAGGATAAGGCGGATATATCCGCCACTCTATGGAAATATAATTAAATCACAGTTTAAAATAGTGGTAATCAATTAATGTAACGATAAATGTATTTATTAACTGCGATTTATTCTTAAATAAGAAAAAAATCAATATAATTAATTAATTAACATTGCGTTTTTGCTATAATTATGAATTAACTACGGTGAAAAACTTTTTACTTTGATTATTTCATAATGATAGGATTGAAAGACTATTATTTTTTTGGTATAGAAGACGGAATTAAATATTACGTGGTGAATATTATATAGTGAAGTTATAATTACAGCATGAGTAATTTATTTGGAATTGATTAGGTCAGGTCGGACAGGGAAACTTTGGAAAGGCGGCCAGAAGTTTCGAACTTTATTATATGATCACTTTTAAGTATCGTGAATATTTCACAATGATTTTAGTTTAAATTTTTAATTTAATGAATATTAGATAAGCAACGACATTTTCCATAGTTACATTTATACTGTTTTAGTTTAGATCATTTTAAAAAGTTTATTTTTGAGAAAAAAAATATACGTTAATTCAATTAAATATGAAATTTTTTGTATTTCTTTCTATTCAGTACATTTTATGACAATAAACATTTCTTGAAGTTCATAGTTTTCAATTAGTTTCTTAATTGAAGTTTCGGAAAATATGAATTTTCTGTATATTTTTTTCATATTGAAATAAATAAAATTAAATTTCAGTAGCAAACGTAGAGGATTTGTTTCAACATATTTTTTTTTTATTTGAGATAAATTAAAATTATTAAAACCTATTGGAAACTTTAATAAATGTTTAATTAAAGAATAGAAAATTTTTGTAATAAAATCCAATAAAAATCTATAATTTTCATAAATTTTTTTTGTACATAATGTTAACTAAATATACTTAATTAGTATAATTGTTAATTAATTTAGAATAACTTTAGTAGCATTTAAGTAAATAATTTGTACTTTTCGTAAAATATAATTAACAAATATCAAATCGATGAAAAATGAATTAATTAATTACTATTAAATTTGGATTTAAATGAAATATTATTGTTTATATACTTTAATTAATAAAATGTATATGATTTTTCACTGATTTTTAATATAATATATTGTATACAGAAATGAAACTGAATCAATATTTGCAGTTGTATAGAAATTCGGAATAAATTTATGTGTATTGTGTTGGGGGGGAGGAATTTTAGCAGTCAATCCATGTAATCCTCTCCGGCTCCGATTTTTTGACAAGTTTCATAGAAAATTTGCGAATTGATACAAATTTCGATGAAGTTATTTGGACATTTGTCCAAACACAAAGTCTGCCAATTAAAGTCAACGTCAATTAAAACTACATCACTGACCAAATGACTTGATTGAAAAATGTATGTAGATAGAAAAAAAAAATTGGTACATATTTATGATCGGCTCGAGCCTGTCAATCATACGCGAAAAATACGCGCGCACGTTCGTAGATCTGTTTTACGCCAGTTCCGAACATGCCGATATTATTTGTTGTTTGTTTTTGCTTTACTTTTCTCTCTCTCTATTTTTTTTTCCATTCGCATTTTGGTTTTGTTCATTGTCCACGTCCATTCATCCGCTCCAGATTTACGTGTCAATCATTGCGGCTGCTTTCATTACTGTAAAAATAATATACAAAAAAAATATATTTATTTTTAACAAAAAAAATATAATGGTCGAATGTTTTTTTTAGGAATTAAAGTACGTTTTAATCCGCGAACTTATGAATTTCAAATTCGCTAATCCGGAGGGTCTCGTTACCTCGAAACATAAAATTAAAAGTTTGCAGTTCGCACCAAAAAACAACCCTTGGATGGATTGGATGGATGGAAGGGATGGGGGATTTTCATAGCGTTTTAATACTTATCTGATGGCCGGAGGGCATTGGAGAATGGGGATGCTAAGACCGGATATTGCAACAGATATGACATTTCCCTTAAATATTTATACGGCGCTTGGGCCTTATCTGAAATTACTTTGTCTGCGAGCGCGACTCTCGCGTTTGACCAATTTTCGGTGGACAAACAGAAATTCCAGACATCTGGGTTAATAACCTTGCCAAAACTCGTTTCGAATCTGCATATCAGGATTTTGCTTTTCCATCAACCCTTCAGTTATTATGTCATTAATGTCCTTACAAAATGGGTTGCTTTTCATTTTTTGTTATTATTAATAATATTGTAAATTACTTTTGTTTCAGCTAAAAATTTATATTAACCCTTTTCAAACGATCGGCGGATATATCCGCCCTATCCGTTCCACAAGAATACTTCTCTACAGTAGTCAAATGTAATTTATAGGAAATTAGGAATTGATCAAAATAAATATGTATTCATTCAAATTTAGTTACTTTTTATATAATTTTAAAAACATTAATCATACATCCTTGCATACAATTAAAAATAAGGAATGAAACTACATGAAACACATTTCAAGTAAACTTAGTATACAAGTTTTGATACTTCTATTGCAAAGTACTTAACATTGGAATTCTTTTATTTTTTTTCCTTATATAATAATTAATATATAATTACATAAAATAACATTTTTTTTTTGAAATATTTAACAAGAAGTTTATATGGACTGGACACACAAAAATTCCGAACATCTGGGAAAACAACCTTGCGTTTTGATTTCTCTTTTCCATCAACCCTTCAGTTATGTCATTAAGTGATTACAAAATGGGTTGCTCTCCATTTTTATTTATTATTAATAATATCTTTTGTAAATTACTTTTTTTTCAGTTAAAAATTTATATTAACCCTTTTCAAACGATCGGCGGATATATCCGCCTTATTCGTTACACAAGAATACTTCTCTACAGTAGTCAAATGTAATTTATAGGGAATTAGGAATTGAACAAAATAAATATGTATTCATTCAAATTTAGTTACTTTTTATATAATTTTAAAAACATTAATCATACATCCTTGCATACAATTAAAAATAAGGAATGAAACAACATGAAACACATTTCAAGTAAACTTAGTATACAAATTTTGATACTTCTATTGCAAAGTAATTAACATTGGAATTCTTTTAATTTTTTTCCTTATATAATAATTAATATATAATTACATAAAATAACATTTTTTTCGAAATATTTAACAAGAAGTTTATATGGACTGGACACACAAAAATTCCGAACATCTGGGAAAACAACCTAGCGTTTCGATTTCTCTTTTCCATCAACCCTTCAGTTATGTCATTAAGTGCTTACAAAATGGGTTGCTTTCCATTTTTATTTATTATTAATAATATCTTTTGTAAATTACTTTTTTTTCAGTTAAAAATTTATATTAACACTTTTCAAATGATCGGCGGATATATCCGCCCTATGCGTTACACAAGAATACTTTTCTACAATCAAATGTAATTTATAGGGAATTAGGAATTGAACAAAATAAATATGTATTCATTCAAATTTAGTTATTTTTTATATAATTTTAAAAACATTAATCATACATCCTTGCATACAATTAAAAATAAGGAATGAAACTACATGAAACACATTTCAAGTAAACTTAGTATACAAGTTTTGTTACTTCTATTGCAAAGTAATTAACATTGGATTTTTTTAATTTTTTTCCTTATATAATAATTAATATATAATTACATAAAATAACATTTTTTTCGAAATATTTAACAAGAAGTTTATATGGACTGGACACACAAAAATTTCGAACAACATTGCCTTTCGATTTCTCTTTTCCATCAACCCTTCAGTTATGTCAAAAAGGGTTGCTTTCCAATTTTATCATTATTACTGTTATTAATTGGCAATAATATCGTAAATTGTTTTTATTTCAGTTAAAAAAATATGATTAACAATCGAACAATCGGCGAATATATCCGCCCTATTATTTACACTAGGATACTTTTCTATAGGAGTCTACCGTTCTAAAAATCTAGCAAGAAGATTAACGCGTGTTGATAAATTATTTAGAGAACATTCATTTCTATCACTTATTATTAATAAACCCTCGTTGTTGTGATTCTTCGGTTTACTGACTTTATTTGATATTGATTTCGTAGGACTACTGACAATGGTGACACCTTTTGTGAATTCCTTGAACGAAACTATCTGAAAGTCTCTGCTCTCAACCGTTGGACAAACATCATTAAAACTCCTCCGTTTCTTTTGAGGAGTACTGGCAAAATTAACACCTTTTTTAAATGTCTCGAAAGAAACACACGTATACTCGCTGCTCCTAACCGTTGAACTATGCGCACCCAACGTACTGCTTTCATCATAACCGCTTTCACCGCTTTCAGAAGATGTCTCATCTTTGTATAGTATTTGGTCTACTTCCCTTGCCTTTACAATGAAATGTTCAAAAATCACTTCCATAAGGTCCCTGAAATGTTGTACTATCGGCTTGTCAGGGCGAATCCTAAACATCCTGTCCATATGATTTTGAAATTCTTGCAAGGTAAGTCTCATTAAATTATTCGCGAAATATTTAAGTTGATTTTGTGAGAGATTTGGTAATTTACTGTTTACCAACATTAATGTAAAATTGTAATCACTTGTTGCGTTCTCCATTTTTTGTTTGTAGAGTTACGTTCTTGAAGAAGGGTAAAACTTGAATGAATATATACTACTTTTTTTTATCAATTAATAGCACTTTTTTTAAACAAATCATCAAATGTTGTTGTTAATGAAATTTGTTGCACTCAATTTTATTTTATTACCTCTAATTAGACCATATTAATTATTTTTTGGAATATTTTATTTGCAAGCAAACCAAGTTTACTTTCGAATTTTTACGGATACAAGAATCAAAAACCTGTTAGTGTACAAAATATATTTCTGTTTCTTTACATTTTTTGGTAAAAACTGTTGATAAAAGATTAGTTTGTCCATTTTTTTTAAATTCTCAGATTTTTGTTATTGCTTACAATCAAATATCTTTCTACAATTTATTAAAAATACAGATTTTCTATGGACATTTTAGTGATTATGAAAAACTTATGAAAAATACTGAATTTTCATTTATATTTTGATGATACTGGAAAAAATGATTGTATTCATAAATTATGTAAGTAATAGTCATAATATAAAAAAACTAATGCGGATTTATTAGGTGCTTAAGACAGTGCCAAGTTTTTTTTTATTTGCAAGCGGGAAGGATTGAATTATGCGATGACAAATAAAATTGGGAGGATTGGCGAACTTTCAATAAGGAGGAGGAAAAGAACGAAGGAGAAAAAACAAAGTCGTTAATATTCAAACTCCATATATGCCGACAATAAAAGTTTCATTTTATTAGCTGAGACCGCGTTCCCAAAAACTTTCCTTCCAGAACATACATACATATATATATGGAAAACGTTAAATTTAATGTAATTAATGTTGGGAGATATGCGGTAAATAAAAAGCAAAGGTGGTTAAGGGAGGGCGAGTAATGAGTGAGAAACCGTTTTTCATATAATACTTAGATGAACTGAAGCATGCTAAGCATTTATATTAGTTGTTAAGAACTTTCCACGTAACTTCCGGCGAAGTTCTCTGGCCGAGATACCGTTTCACATGGGAATATGAATATATAGAGCAAAAAAATAAATATAAAAAAAGTTTGTTTGGAAATTCGGCACTACTTTCTCTTTTATATAACATTTTTGTGTATGTTTGGTTTTTATTTATATACATTTTATTTAAATAATAACATTTCAATGAATATTATATAATATAATAATAATGTAGCATAAAAGTACAATATATGAAATTATTTTTACAATAAGAAACAACAAAAATTTCTTTTTTTTTCTAACTATTATATATAAACATTAGATTTGTAATAAGAAAAAAATAGTTTTTGTAACATAAATTGAAATTTTTGCAAGTTGGAAGAAAAATGTTTGAATTTAGAAGAAAAAGTTTAAATCAAAATTGTGTTAATTATTTCAATAAATAAATTCTCTCATATTTTGTTTTATAAAAATATATAAAAACATCAATAATTGAATTTATTTGTAAATAATAAATACAATAAGTCTATAAAATTTGTTTAAAAAGTAATAATTTTATCAAATTTCGCTTTTATATATTTTGTGTCTCTGAAAAAGTGAAAGTATTTGAAATATTTTTTATTTTACAAAAAATAAGTTGCAAGATTTGTGTATAAAATATATATTTTCTAATTTAATTTGAAGACAATATTTAATTTTTGTTTCAAAACCAAAATCAAAATTGTCCGAAAAAAATATATAGAAACATCAATAGAATTTAATAAACATATAGAAACATATAAATTTGTCAATAAATTTGTTTAAGAAAATATTAAGTTTTCAAAATTTCTAAAAGTTTAATTTGTTTAAGGTTTTTCTTTAAATTTATTTAACAAATGTATATAGTAAGGAGAATTAGTGATATGATTAAATTTGATGGTATTTGATGAATTGCAATGAATATAAATTGTGGATTCAACAATGAAGTGTAATTATTGCTACAAAGAATGGAAATGAAGTGTTAAAATTTAGATGCTCTGGCCCGATCCGCATATAAAATTCAATTTCATTGCTGCTTTTAAAACGCACAACAAAAATAAACCTTTCAGGCTTATTACACGGCCCCGTTCCAGAGTGCGGCGGCTGCGGCCTTCATAAATTCGAAAAATTTATAATTCAGCGAAAAAGGGAAGAGAGAGAGAGAAGGGTGGTTGTGTCCACAAACATCTCAACACTCCCTTCTTTCGAGCGCAAAATTACGAAACGTCTCCAGAGCTGCGAGGGATGAGACATCCTCTTTCCGGAAAGAACGAACTAAGCGACGGGCGGTCTCCTCCCCGCATCCTTTTTCCCTCAAGAGGGATTTATTTTTAAGATTGAAACTAAACCCTTTACTCTGACAGCGCGATTCCGGACAACGAGGAACAGAGCACCAAGGATGTTTGCTATCCTTACTTATTATTATACGCTACCCGTCTTGCTGCTGCATTTCCTTTTTTATCCCTTTTATGACGACTCGTATTTCGAAATTCGTTCTTCCTTATATTACATTCACTTTTTTTATTGTAATTATTTTCTGCTTCTTACATAATTTCTCCCAGGGATGACACAGATTTCAACACACTTAATTTAATACTTTCAAATTTTAAAATCACAACAAAAGTGTAAGACTTATTTTTCGAAACAATTTATATTAATTACTACATTTTTAACTGCAATTATTTAAATAATTATAATTAAATTAAATAAATCTAAAATTGTAAAAATAATTATATAATTTTTTTTCAATAATTTGTGATAAATGTACTCTTCGTTTATCAATATTCTCCACTATGAATGGAATTATAAAAAAAAAATATATTTTTTTGAATAATTTATGATATTTTCAATTAACAAATATACAAGTTTGTCTCTAAAAGTAAAAAAAATGCATAAATAATATTATGAAAAAGGTAAATTCTTCTCTCTAATTACTGTTACTTTTTTTAAAACAATGGGTTTGTGCAATAAAAGAAATAGTGTATTGTGTTTATGTAATAAACCCTTACTTATTATTTATATGTTTGTTGTTACATGCCATTTTTTACGAGAATTGCTTAATATTTGGAAGTTGTTTTTTTACGACCACGTTCGCCCTTTTTTTATTCTTTTTCAACGGTTGTAACAAAGATCTTCATTATCATTGTAACATTGTTAAAAAAAACACCAATATTTTATTATAGTCATATACATTTATTTTCTTAATTATTTAAAAATGTGTTAAATTTTTATTTCTTTAAATTTAAACCCTAATTATTTAATAAAGTAAGTAAATATACCACAAATTTTGAATTGCAAAATACAAATTTAAAATATATTGCTTAACTTTCAACAGTTTTTCAATATAGAATACAAAATGGACAATTAAATTGTGTTGAGATTTGTACGGTTTATCTCTTTATTTATTTAGGTTGAAATCATAATTATCTATCGATTTTCACTTCTCTAATAGTTTCATTATATTAAAAAATCTGATTTGGAATTAATTTATTTCGATCACCGATTAAAATTTTATACATGTTGCTTAACTTTTGAATGTTTTTAAATATAGGACACGAGATGGACAATAATTTAATTCGCTTTAAAAATGTGTTCTGATATTTAATTTGTATATCTTTCTTTATTTATATTTTAATTTATTGATTTTCATTTCTTTTGTACTTTTAGTATAAACCATTCAATGTTATACATGATGCTTAACTTTTGAAAGTTTGTCATTGAAATTGTGTTCTTATATTTGTTATCTCTGAATCTATTTAAGTTTAAATTTCTCTAGAATTTTCAGTATAATACAAATTTTAATTGGAAAAACATATTCCAATCACCATCCAAATGTTATACATGATGCTTAACTATTTGAAAGTTTGTCTTTCAAATTGTGTTGTGATATTTGTTTATTTCTGACGCTATTTAGGTTTAAATTTTTCTTGTAATTTCAATACAATATAAATTATAATTGGAAAAACATATTCGAATCACCATCCAAATGTTATACATGTTGCTTAACTTTTTGAAAGTTTTTCTTTGAAATTGTGTTGTAATATTTTTTATCTCTGAAGCTATTTATGTTTAAATCCTAATTATTAATCTATTAATTTTCACTTTTTACATCATATTACAAATTCCATTTCGATCACCCATCCAAATCTGCTATATGTTGCGTAACTTTCTATTAATTTTATTAAAACGCTACTTTTAATACAGATGAATAGATAAGTAATTAATAAAAACTGAAAGTTTTCTAAATATTTATAACTACGATATTTTCATTTTGATATTTTACAAATTCTAAATAGGAAACAAATATTTCGATCATCATTTCTTTTTACATATTGATTAATTTTCGAATGTTTTCAAACATAAAACACAAGATTTGCGATATTGTAACAGAAAACTAATTAATAAAAACGGAAGAAACTACATATTTCAATTATTTCGTAATATAATAATTATGAAATTGTCCTACATATATGAAATGTATATTTATAGACTTCTATAAACTGAATCATCGGACATTGTACCTTGATATCTTTGGTATACATCGAGCAGTCAATACAAACACGTGATGTAACAGAACAATCAGGTGCACATTGAACGAATGAACCAAAAAGAAAATATATATATATATATAGGAGAGTTCCAATGATCGATGTCAACATCAATTCCATAAAGGGAGGTATTTGCTGTCACCTCTGCTCAAACGTAACCAATTAATCAACTGGAAACTAATCATGTGTTACACTGTTATAAGTACACAGAATAGAACAATATAATCAATTAACACTTGAAATAATATTAGAATTAACAAATTTTAATAGAATTTCTTATAAATATGTAAATACTAAATGACTTGAAAAATATTATTTGAAATTGTTTCATACATTCACTTACAAATTTTGCATTTCTCAAATATTTCTGAAATAATCAATATTATTCTTGTTTGTTTTCATAATTTCATAAATAATAATTATCAAATTATATAAATTGGTTTAGAAAACAATTTATTAAATCAATTAATTCTTAGTAGTAAATTATTAATGATTACTTTTATACAATGATTCATAGCATTTCGAAACGGCAATAAATACATTTTATTTTCCAATCATATTTTGCCAACATTTCAATTAACTGATACTTAATGAACAATGCCGCATTTATCGATTTAATTATAAAAAAAATGCTACAGTTAAATATTGCAAATTTTAATTAAAATGAACCAATGGAAATTATTTGTTTATATTTAAAAAAAAATAATCAAAAAATAACTTGT